CAGTCATTTGTTATTATTTGATTTCTTGATGATGGTCATTCTTTCTTCAGTCAGGTGGTATCGGAATGTTGTTTTAATTTGTATTTCTCCAATGGCCAGAGATGGTTGAACATTTCTCCATGATTTATTGGCCATTTGTACTTCTTTTACGAAGTGACTTTCCATTTTATTTGCCCTTTGCAGGTTTTTTTTTAATAGCAAAACATTTAATGTTTTGATAATGATAATACCCATCGTAGGGAATTTGCACCTGTACATGGTGGAGCCCACCTCTTCTTTCCCCTTCCCCTCCTCCCCTGAAGCTCCCTCCCCTCCCAATATACAAAAGCTTTGTTTCCATTTTTTCCTCTATTTTCAATTTTTTTCTTGTCCTTTCCTTCCTTTCTCCCTCCCTCCTCCCTTGCTCCCCTTCCCATTTGAATATTTTCTTCCCACTATCTATTATACGTTTTAGTCTTTATTTCCACTTTCAGTTTCTCACACCAGAGAACCAATGCACTATTTAAACATGTGTGAACAATTTATTTCACTTAAGAGTATGGTCTCAAGGTGCATCCATTTAGCTATAAATGTCTGAAGCTCATCCTTCTTTATGGCAGAGTAGTAACCCCTTGTGTAAAAAAACCCACATGGTCTATCCATTCATTGGTTGCTGAGCATTTGATTGCCCTCTGTTTTGATTGGGTCTTTTATTTGAGTGGGTCTAACTTTTTAGTTCTTTATATATTCTAGGTATTAGTCCCCTGAGGAATAGCTGGTGAAATTTTTCTTATTCTGTAGGTTGTCTTTACACTCTGTTGGTTGTTTCTTTTGTTATGCAGAAGCTTTTTCATTTGATACGATCTCATTCTTGGTGTTATTTCTGTGCCATTGAGGTTCTGTTCAGAAAGATCGTGCCTTCATCTATGACTTCAAGAGTTTTATCTATTCTGTTTTGTTCTGTTTTTGAGAGAAGGTCTTGCTATATAGCCCAGCGTGGCTTCAAACTTGTAGTAATTTTCCTGCCTCGGCCTCCCAAGTGCTGGAATTACACAGGTCTGTGCCACCACGCCCAGCAGGGGTTTCACCTATTTTATCTTTTAGCAGATTAAGTGTAGCTGCTTCTAGGAGGCCACTGTGGGATGTGGCAAAGCCTGGGTGTCTGAGGGCACCTGAGGGCATCTGAGGACACAATCCTGTCATTTAGCACAAGTGCACAATGGAGTTTCATTTTACAATAATGAATCAGCATAGACAACCATGCATGTGCCACATGGCCTGCAAGGTCATGCAGAATGTTTTGTCTTAGAGGGCTGGGGATTTACCTCAGTGGCGCTGCGCCTACCTCAAAAGCTCAAGGTCCTGAGTTTGATCCCCAGTATCCAAAAAAAAAAAAAAATGTTTTGTCCTAGCTAAATTGATAAAGAACTACTATAAGTTCTGTGTTGGAAATAAAAGTTTGGTTCCTACTTTGTAGTGTCTGCTCCATGTGTGTTCTTTTTTTTGGAAACCTCTCCTGACTGGGCCTTCCTTCAGCCCACCAGCCCCAACACCCTCCTATCTCTCAGGAGCTATTCCTACTCCCCATTCTTATTCTGCAATAAATTTTCCTACTCTTAGCCTCCGTTGTTCCTTAAAATTCATTCTTTGACTTCATGGAACACAAACTTGGCATTTCTGACATCTAGCAGGTTGGGAGTTACATTTTTCCCCCTGTATTAATACAATCCTACCATTCCTCCTTTAAAGCTGCAATGCTTGATAGTGAGGACATCCAACTCGAAATTTTCCTTCTCACTTGTGGCACTAAAAGGGTAATTTCTTCTTAATATATTAGGGCAGTTTATAAAGAACACATGTGTGAGATATACTTTATTATTTTTCAGAATAATTCATGTTTTTATAGCAAATATCAGTTATGTTTTTCAATGGAACCGTCTCGACTTTGGGGGTTCTTGCTGTAGGATGGGTGATGGGTATTCTTTTTATTTTATTTTGGTACCAGGGATCAAACTCATGACCTTGCACTTGTGAAGCAGGCGCTGGAACCACTGAGCTAAATCCCTGGCCCTGTGATGGATATTCTTTGTGCTCATCATTTTCCACATTGTTACCTCACAAATATCCAAGAGTCTCATGTTATTAGGTAGGATTTTTCAAGTTTCTTAGCACTGTTGTTTATTATATGATGTGCTTGAGTGCTAAAATCCGTAAAGCTATTGCTGAGCATGGTGGTGCATGCCTGTAATCCCAGAACAGGAGGCAGAGGTAAGAGGATTGCTGTGAGTATGAGGCCAGGCTAGCTTACCTAGTGAGTTCAAGGCCAGCCTGAACTACATAGGGAGTCCCTGTATCAAAAAACTAAACCAAACCAAATGAAACAAATGAAAACAAACAAACCTGAGTATCACTATGTGATTCCTGAGCAACTGGAGAAATCAACAAATCTCTAAACCATTATTAAAAGTGATTAGAATTAAACATAAAATTGAATCAAGACAGAAAAAGAAGTGCTAAATGAAAACAGCAACACCAAAATAAATTAAATGTGGAATTGTATATTCAATGGAATAGGTGATTGCACAGAATACCCCATGCCTATAAGTTATTTTTCTATAGGCAAGCAATTGTGATTTGTTTCAGTACAAATTGTGTTCTATAATTATAAATGTATATTTATGAGTGGGAAAGAAATATATCATTTCTTTTTCTTCAGAATAAGATGTCTAAGTTCTCCATTTCCATTATGAATATGGGATGCCAATAGACTCTAAATTTACCAACCACCACTTCCTTGACGTATGGTTGGTCCAGAAAAGGCAATGCCATTTATGATTTCTGTCTCTCTTACCATGCTTCCATGACTTAGCAAAACTTTCTTCCTCACTGGTACATGTTTTTCTTGATGCATTAATGTATTTAATGAAACATAGTTAAGTTTTCTTAAATTCATTTACAATAAATTTCTAATTTTTTTTCTCTCGATAATTGTCAGAAAGTTAACATCTCTCTTGGATTCTATGAACAAATGTCTTATAAATAAGTACTAATATTTGATTTTTTTCATGCCTTTGTGTTATATTTGCAACTGTTTGGGGGCGCAATTGTTATGAATTAGAGATAAAAAACACAGAGTTAAGGCTAAAAACAAAAAGATGTTTTCATGAGAAGTTAAAGCCCTGTGACATCGTGGTGGTTATATTCATGAGGATTTCATAGTAATCTGAATAGACAAGAGAGGCTAAAAAATGAATTGCCATGTGGAATACAAGACTGTAGATGTGCTCAATTTCAAAGATCCAGTCTTATAAGAGCAGTCAATGCCAGAGGGTGTGGTGGTGCACACCTGCTACCCCAGCACATGGGAGGCTTAAGCAGGAGGATCATAGCCAGTTTGAGGCCACACTGGGCTACATAGTGAGTTCAAGGCAAACCTTAACTACATAGGGAAACCTTGCCTCAAAATAATAAAAATAAAAGAGTAGTCAATGTTATAAGCTATATTCACATTGAAGTAATGGGGTTTTTGCAAAAATAAATGATCTAAGACTGGTATTTCAAGTTTTTATATCTTTAAATTCATTTCATTATATCTATTTTTGTACTTAGGTTTATACATTAAATAACATATTATGAGAGTAATTTTAGTAAGCAGTGGAATCAGATAATTTAATTCTTTTCACACAACCAAGATTTTACTGGTCTGGGATAACTGTTTCACATGAAACCTCACACTTATTGCTGAGATTATGCCACAATCAGAACATTTTTGACAGTTTATCTTACTGCTGTCTTGGTCTGATTACAGACTTTAATTTTTATTGTTTGTTAAAATTATGTTTTTTGTAAGTTTCAACCATTTGATGATAGCTGTACTTAGGAACAAATTGAGTAGGTCTTTTGCTTACATTTCCAACTGTAAGAAGACAATGGGGTTTTTTTCCTTGGCCTGTATTGGTACACTTTCACCTGTATCTTTTTTTTTTTCAACAAGAACATTTGAGAACTTACCTTGGGCTAAACATTTTGTATTAGTCAATTTTTCTTTTCCGCATTAAATAGCTCCATGTCTTTCAACCTTTTTTTGAAAGGTTTTTTCTTCTGATTCCTTAGCATTACTCTAATTCGCACCTATTTGGATGATGTCCATCTTAAAATGTGGCACTTAGAAATAAATATATAGAAAATGGAGACTTTCAACATCATCAATAATAATACGTAGGAATTATTAAACTTAGCAATATATTAGGCTGTGAGAACAAACATATATGGCACATTATTCTTGTACTCAAAGATTTTTACATTTAATTGGAGATGAAGATTACAACTTTAGATTATATTAAATAACAAATATATGGCTTCTAGGAACTCAGTGTTCAGAGATCTGTGTTTTGGAGTTATTATTGGAAGTTTCTAGCTTCTAACTACTGTTGGGTCTTGAAGACTACATTGGATCTGAATATATCAAGCGTACATAAGCACTATAGCACTTTGTCCAAAATAGACATATTGGTAATGCCAGAAATAAAACTCAGATTTTTTTTTTTTTTGATCTAAACTTTTTGTTCTTTTTGGTGTAGAAAGAGCAAATGTTTGCTTGAGATTGATCAAAACTACCATTTTTGGAAAGGCCAGTGTAATTAAACTTGGCAAAATTCTAAATTTTTTGTTTGTTTGTTTTGTTATTTTTTTGAGACAGGGTCTCCCTATGTAATTCAGCCAGGCTTTATACTCACTATGTAGCCCAGGCTGGCCTCAAACTCACGGCAATCGTCCTGCCTCAGCTTCCCGAATGGTGGGATTATAGGCGTGCACCACCAGGCCTCGCGCTCCCTTTCTTAAGGGGGGAAAAAGTTTTGACAAGACAGAAAGCCTGGAAGCCTGGAATGTAAGCAGACAACTTTATTTCCGGAATTCTATTTACCCTTAAGAAAGATGGCTGGCGGAGTTTACACATGCGCCGGAGGGACGCTTGGGCGGAGAGTTCCGGCGCGTGCCATTTCGCTCCGAGCATTGATTGGTAGCCGGCAGCAGAGGGGCGAACCGGAAGCGCCTGTATCGTGAAGCTCAACTGATTCGTTCCCGGCCTCTTTCCTGTGTCCAGTTTACAGCTGTAGTTTCTGCCTTTGAAGGTGCTTACCATGGGGGAAACGGAGAAGTTTCACTATATCTACAGTTGTGACCTGGACATCAACGTGCAGCTTAAGATGTAAGAGCACTCTGGGAACTGGGAGAGGGGTGCTGGGCAGGAGGACGCGAAGCAGGGCCCTGCAGCCGTGGGGAGGGAGAGAAGATGCTGACTCTCCCAAAGCCAGGGCTGGGAGCCGGCGGGAGGGCTGAGGCCAGGAGAGCGGAGGAAGTGGATTGTGAGAGGGTCTGGTAGCAGAAAGTTTGAGGACTTGGCCTCTGTGAGAAAGACAGCATTATGAATAAGCTGTTAAGTTCCAGTGTGTCGTCAAGGCAGTTTGCTTTTCAGCCTTTTGAGGAGTTATTACTGTTTCGCATTTACACACGGAGGAACGTCGGTAAAGTCCTGCAGTAAATAAGGGGAGGACGATCTTTACTTTCGAACAGAGTTGGAGGTTGGAATGGAGTTTGCTAACTATGAGAAGACAGACAAGTAGATGTGATAGTTGAGACTGAGATGAGCAAATTGTAACAACAGCACAAGAGATGGAAGAAGTATAGGTTGACTCTGGCTCGTTTGACATTGTTAAAGCAGAGAAGTTGAGAGGAGGTAGTAGATGAGGGTGCCAGTTGCAAAAAGGCCAAGACTACGGGGGAGGAGTCTTGATAGGAAAACCTTTGGACACTACGTTCAAAGTGAAGAATTTATTTTGGTTTGGTTTGGTTGATTTGTTTGGTTTTTGGTGCTACTGGGGCTTGAACCCAGAGCCTTCGCACTGAGCTACATGCCCAGCCCTTTTTAAATGTTGAGACAAGGGTCTCACAATGTTAGTAAGTGGCCCAGACTGGGTTCGAATTTGTGATCCTTCTGCCTCAGCCTCTCAGAGCTAGGAGCATGACATCTTGAAATTAGAAAAATTGAACTGAGCTAAAAGAGTTGGAAATTGTTTCCTTAATAAGTGGATGCAAGAAGTATTGTCAAAGCCTCATTAGTTGTTAACCACAACATAATCCATAATCAGCATTTATTACATATTTTTACTTGATATCAACAAATACATGTCAGAGGGCTATCTGTGTATCTGACATATGTGGTAGATACATCAGTACGAGAATCAGTTGTTTAGATGGAGAAGGTTACCCTTCTAAGCAGAGGAGTTTTGATGTAAAATTTTCATCATGTGAAGACTCTGACCAATGTTATTTCTGGAGACTGAGAAGTCCAAGGTCGAGAGACTGCATCCAGTGAGAGCCTTCTTGCTGGTGGGGACTCTGCAGAGGCCCAAGGTGGTGCATGATATCACATGAAGATCCAGATAATCACATGAAGATCTTCCTGTCTCTCTGCTCTTCCTATCTCATGTGTACTGTTCATGCTTACTTCAAGTATATGTCTGGAACGGGAGGCCCCTGCCCAAAGTCAGGCTAGGTGCTTCTGGGACATTGTCTTCCTATGGTGGGAAAAACATTGGATTTGGCCTCCTTGTCCTTTTGGTTTTTATTTGTATCTGTTTAGGTGACCTTAGATAATAAATTTGATCGCTTAGTTTCTATTTTCTCGTTTTTAAAATGAGAATATGTGAAAATTAAGAAAGATTGTATCAAATGACTGACACAGTATCTGACATAATCTTGATGTCCAAGAAATATATCTGCTTCTTTTATAGTGTCTTGTGCATATCTATGGTGACTTGTAACAGTGTACTTTTAAAAAATTTGTAAGTAATGGTCAGATAGTACATGTACATAGTAAAATAAAAAGGGCCAAAGATTTAGCTCAGTGGTGCCACTGCCTGCTTGGCAAGTGCAAGGTCCCGAGTTCAAACACCAGTACCGATAAAACAAAACAAAAAAGTAAAAAATGGGCTGAGCATGTAGCTCAGTGTGAAGTCCCTGGTTTAAATCCCCAGTGCTGAAAGAAACAAAACAAAACAAGATTGGTGGCAGGGTATAAAATTAAGAAGTCTAATATGGAGAAATATGTTAATGAAGATAGATGGAGACCTTTATCAGATATAAAGGTGACTTTAACTTTATTTCTAGAAAGATGTTCTTTGGGTAGTATAGGGTTACTTTGATAGATACAAACTTTTTCTTAGTATTTGTGGTGCATATGTGTACAGTATATGCTTTAAAAATGTATGTCTAAAACATTGTTATTCTTGTGCTTTCAGAGGAAGCTTGGAAGGGAAGAGAGAACAAAAGAGTTATAAAGCCGTCCTAGAAGACCCAATGTTGAAGTTTTCAGGGCTGTACCAAGACACGTGCTCTGATCTATATGTTACTTGTCAGGTTTTTGCAGAGGGGAAGCCTCTGGCTTTGCCAGTGAGAACATCCTATAAGGCATTTAGTACAAGATGGAAGTAAGTGTTTTTTTTTAATATGGTAGATTTTAGACTGTTCATCCATTTCTTTGTAGATCACACAAATAGGGACAACTTAGTATGGATTTTAAAGGAATTTCTTAATTTTATACCTGTATACGTTGATTAGCTTAAAGCAGTAACTTGCTTAGATAAAGTATTCTACAGATAAACTGGCCATTGTGGCACACACTTGTGTTCCCAGCACTTGTGAGGTTGAGTCAGGAGGAGTATGAGTTGGAGGTTAACCCGAGGCCATCCTGGGCTGCACAGAGGGTTCAAGGCAAGCTTGGACTACTTAGCAAGACCCTGTCTCAAACAAAAAAGGTGTTATACATATAACTATTATAATCACAGTTGAAGTGGACATGAATTTATATATGTAGTAAGGATATTATTTTCATATGTCTAACCTGATCTTTGGAACTTAGATCTGTTGTCATTTGTTTGGATAAGATTTTTATTATTATTTCCCATATGAAACTTTCTTTTAGGTTCATGGTTTATTCGGCGTAGTACATTAGCAGAACACTGCTGCGATGCTGGGTAAATGTAGGTTAATGAGCACACTGATGTTCTTTTTCCAGGTATTGTGGTCCTTAATCTCACCTCTTGATTCTGTTTATTTAATAGACCACATAGGGCACTTCCAACCTTCAGTCAGTATTTTGCAGCACTCTGGTAGTGTCAGTGCTAGATAACAATTGTGTGCTCTTAAGGAGGGAGCTTGTGCTCACAGTGTTCAGGAGAGACAGGATATGGCCACGTGGACAAGTGCACTGTGCCATTGAGAGAAGAACCCTGTATTTGCCAGTTCTTGCCCAGTGGGGCTGGGAACACTTTTAGGGAGGAGGAGCCTGAGCTTTGGTGATCTGGCTATATCAAAACCAACCACTATACTAGTGCAGCTTCTTTGGTAGTCTTTTTGTGTCAAATAGGCATAGGTGTGTATCTTTTATTTGCATGTTTATTTATTTTTTGTTGTTTTGGGTCAGGATCTCACTGTAGTTTTGGCTGGCCTGGAACTCATTGTGCAGCCCTAGCTGGCCTTTTACTTGCTGAAGTCCTGCCTCACCCTCATACCTGGCTTTATTTTGGGGAATTTAAATGCCACCTGCTGTTTAGGGAATGGAAATGTGCTTACATTTCTATATTATTAAAAATAAACATTCCTTAGTGAGATAATATATACTGCCATGGTTGGAAAGTCTAAAGCACTGATAGCTAAGTGTTGCCAGGATTAGTGAAATAATTTGGGAATCAAAAAAAATCTCATGTAAGATTACATGCCTCTCTAGTGTAAACTGATGACTTCTTTATAATATAAAAGGTGCTGTACAAGCCAGGGATGGTGGCACACACCTGTAATCCTAGCACTGGGGAGGCTGTGGCAGGAGGATCACCATGACTTCGAGGCTAGCCTGAACTACATGGCAAGACACTGTCTCATTGAGATGTTTTCTCAACATTGTTTTTTTAAACAGTTGTTTCCTTGTCTTTTTTTTTTTAAGGTACTAGGAATTGAATCTAGAACTTTCACATTTAACTACAGCTCAAGCCTTTTTAAAAAATGTAATATTTTTTTAGTACATGTTTGCAGTACATAATGATTACATTCATCATGAAGAGGTGGTACATGTGTATAACACATTTTAATTCTTTTTTTCCCCCCTCTCCGCATTCCTCTATCTTTTATATTTATTTTTATTTATTTTTTTCCAGTACTGGGGTTCAGACTCAGGCCCTTGCACTTTCAAGGCAGGCGAGGTGCCACTGAGCTAAATCCCCAGCCCTATTTATTTTTTTTAATTGCTGAGGCTTTCAATCCTCTTGCTTCAGCTTTCCAGAGTGTTGGGATTATAGGTGTGCACCACCATACCTTGCTTGAATTTTTTTTTTTTCTTGCTTGAGTTTGATGAAGGGATTTAACAGTGTTTTGTTTTTTGGTTTGATTTTATTTTGTTTGTGTTGTTTTATGGTACTGGGAATTGAACTCAGGGTCTCGCACTGAGCTGCATCCCCAGCTGGTTTTGTTTTGAGACAGTTTTGTTATATAGTTCAGGCCAGCTTTGAACTCATTATGTAGCCTAGCAGCAATCCTGCCTCAGCCTCCTGAGTGCTAGGATTACTGGCTGCATAGGCTACCACACTCAGCAACACCGTTACTTTATAAACTGTATTAAAATGTTTCTTGTCTTATGTATTTAAGTATATTTATATTTCAAGTAGCAAAATTAAGATGACTACCACATTACTTTTTAGAGTACTAACCTAATCTTTTTGGAAGCGTTTCCTCTGATCAAATCTTTTTGTGTGATTTGTTAATTTGAAAGAAAGATACACATGTGTTTATATTGACTTTATTTCTATAGCTGGAATGAATGGCTCAAACTGCCTGTGAAATACCCTGACCTGCCCAGGAATGCCCAAGTGGCCTTGACGATATGGGATGTGTATGGACCAGGAAGAGCAGTGCCTGTAGGAGGAACAACTGTTTCTCTCTTTGGAAAATATGGGTGAGCATTCTGTTCCGTTTATATTTTGGAAAGTTGTAGCTTTCTGCCTCTTTTCTCTTCTGCAGGGCTTTATGTCCTTTATGCTGTGTGGTTCTCCACATAAAAACTGGTGGGGTACATAGGATTTGGTTATCCTTGAGGCTGAATTTGACACATATTTTCTACAGAATATGCAAATAGATTAAGAAACAGTTTATAACACTCTACTATTAGTGATTGGTAGCGTGATTTCTGTTAAAAAGTAGAAGTTATCAGGAACTAGGACCTTATTTGGACAGATGAAAGACTATCTTGCATATTGTAGCTGTTTTGTTATAGGTTTTTCGCTTCTTTATAATAGTGGCAGAAAGGATGATAAGTAGACTTAAAAGTCCATTTGCCGATGACAGTATTGATTGTAGTATAAAAGTTAATTCTGGCTTTTTAAAAAATTTTTTTACAAATAATAGAAATTTATTATTTAAAAAAAACTCATCATCTGGGAGGGTATTTTTCTTTTCCTGGGACAGGATGGGTTCAGTTTACTTTTAGAGAATTATTGACATTCTATTATTCTTTCTACATTTATAAATTGGAATTTTTCCCTAAAGAACTTGGTCTTTTAAACATTAGTTAT